TCATCGTCGATCGTCGTCGTGACCGCCATCGCTGTCAGCGCGGTCATCATCGGCCGTGACACGTGCGAACCTCTGAAAGCCTAAACTATGCCAACATACCGAAACCAACCGAACACCCGGCAAGCAGTGATTCGTGGCACGCTAAGCTTTTGATGGGCCCCAACAGGGGGCGAGGCATCACAAAGCCCGCAAGCGAGAAAGAGCTAGTAACAAACTCTGAACCCGGCAGGGAGTGGGGTGTGACGAGGCGGAAACACGGAAGTGCACACATATCAACCCTCAACGTGCTGGCTTCGCGGGTGTGAACCTCGCTGGCTTGCCTGAGCGTGATGCTACTCCCACAAGTTGGCTCAGGCCTCGTTCAGTGACAGTTTAACATGTGCGCCGTGGTATGCCAATCGAGACTAGATGACCATTGATCGTGGAGCAAAGTTGGACATTAATTGATTGATGCCATCTTGTCACCTGGCACTACTCCTGTCTATCGCAGCTGCAGAGTTCTACGAGCCCTGCACGCCCGCACAAGCTCTCCAGGCTTTGCATAGAGTGCGCTCATTGGATGCTGGGTCAGAGGCCTTCAACAACTTTTGTCAAACTTGTGGCCAGACATCCCTATCTGCTGGCAAGAATTCTACAGCTGTTTGCTGTGGCTGCTTCGCCGGGTTCCTCTCGCTGGAGAGCAGGGTGAGAGACGAGCTTACGACCTTGAAGGTGCGGCATCAAGTCGATGTGAAAAAGCTGCAAAATTTGTCCTTGGCATTGCAGCTTTACCACGTGAAGCTTCGCACCGGTCCCGGCCTCGCAACAGCTCGGGCAGCTTTGCGGCAGAAGTTCATTGATATCCAGCGACGTGTTAGCTTCACTGCTGAAATCGGCGTGCGTTTGGCAGACGAGCGCCGTTTCGATTCCTTGACTCAACATACGGCGCGCCTAATCAGTGAAGCATTCTTCTACTTCAAGGAGCAGCAGACGATGCCAATTTACGAGATGTTGATTCACAACCACAATACGTGCTTACTAGACATTTTTGCTGGTAGGTGTGAGAAGAAGAATCTTCCCATTTTCGAGAAGTTCCCAGCAGTACAGGGGCCACCGCAGGAGGGGTTCATGTTAGATTTTCTCGGTGTGTCTATGCCAATCGAGGCTATTTGTCGAGAAAAGCAACTAGTCCTGCTGGCACCAGGGCGAACTATACTGTGCAAATATTACCAAGCAGGAATGCCGTTGCCTCGTGTTTGGCCGGTGCTGGACGAGGAGTATCTGGAATGGGCCGATAGCCTCACGACTGCTGTGGATGCAGCACAGGCCGGGCGGCCGTTCCGCATGGCCGAATTGGGCAGCGGACCTTACGGAATTTGGGCCATGCGCGCGGCAAAGGCCTTCACCATGCTAGCTGCGGCCGACCGGCCCTGTGAACTGTTGCTTGTGGAGCCTGAATTGGGGGATGGCTCCATGTTGCGAACGCACACAGCCATGAATTTGCCCATGGGGCGATGCAAATTCGTCGTGCACAGGGATCCTCTGAGCACGAGCGACCAGGTCAAAGCTTTGCTGGGCTCAGGTGATCTATGGGATCTGGTGGACATAGATGCCCAAGGAGCAGAAGAGTTTATTTTATCTGGCTTGCTGGGTTGGCTGTCGACTCGGGTTCGGCGCTTGCATGTGTCAACACATTCGCGCCTGATTCACTGGCAGCTCGTGAACGAGCTGCGAAGAGACGGTTGGCAGGTCCAGGCCCACTATCCCGCAATGTCCATGGTGGGCCTGCAAGACTATGATTTAGGACGATTTCTTACTTGTGACGGCCACATCAGTGCACTGCCTCGTTTTTGGCAATGGACATAGTGAGCTGCTCTCATTCAGTTGGGCTACGGGGACCGCGCCTGGCCTTCTCAGCGGAAGCTTTGTCGAAAAAGGTCATGAGGCAAGCAAGAAATTGACGCCTCCGGGAAGCAACAGCTTGCTGACACCTTCCAACAGCACAAGCTGCCTACATTAGGCTCTCATAGGCAGGGTGTATCCGGGATCAAGATTTCACAAGTTCGCTTCTTTCGAATCTTCTTTTCGGGACTGCGCGCTGCATTTGGCGAGTTTCGCAAGGAGGAGCTGTCATTTCGATGCAGGGCTTCTCTCACCATTGCACTTGTCCTTGTTAGGAATAAGGGTCGTGGGGAAGCCCTCGGCCCGAGGCTGTAGCCGTGTGTGTGGCTCGGCACAGCTCCCACCGGTCCGGGGGAGGATCCAAAGCAAAGCCAACTGCGACGCCAAGGCCACGTTGCGCAGCTCCCTGGGTCTGGTGCCACAGGAGCAGCAGGGCTCTCTCCCTTTCTTACAGTCCCAACTTGGGGTCCTCTGCGCTTCTCACAAGTAAGTCATACCCCGGACAAACTTGCAGTCTTGGGCCCGGGGTGCGGGATGATTCAGGTATGCGGTGCTCGTTTCTGGGTGGCGGAGTTTCGAACCGAAAAGATCTGAGAGGGGCTCCCGGGTCCCCACAGGATATAGCAAGAGTGTTAATTTCCTGGCGCACGGTTGTGATATATCGGTAACTTCACTTCAACGCAACCAGTGAAGTGGCAGGATCCCATGCTCTTCACGGGCACTTTACGGCACAACCTGGATCCATTCAAGGCTCCGTGGCTCTCACGCTCTCAGGGGTAATGTAAAGGCGGTTGAAAGCCCAAGACTCGGACTTAGACATCTCCAGCCTTGACTCCAGCCTTCTTTGCATTCCCTTTCTCTCTTGCGAGGTTTACACTGATGGCCGTATCCGGACCCTCAGAATGCAAGGAAGTGTTTTCAGGGCAGGCCTCAGAGTGAAGGGAAACGTGCGATTGGCGACAGGGGTCAATCTGCCGACAGAATGACTGCATGCTATGGTGGCCTCTCAGGAAAGCTGTGAATTTGGCGCACTTAGAGAGCTTTGTCAACACCTTGCCTCTTGGCCTCTTGGTTGCATAGCCGGAAGCTGCGGAAAGCGGCCTCGCAGTTCTCACACGTCTTCGATAAAGCAATGAAGCTGAACAAGTGCCCACACAAGCAGTCGGCTCACGCAGGCCTGGACCATGTGGTGTCAGATGAAGGCCGATCAAGGGCCTTCCTGCTAGTGAGAATAGCGATAGCTGTTCCAGTTTGGAGCCGTCGTTCACCGCGAGCAGGGCGATGATGATCGGATGTTGTAATTAGGTGATGTTGAGGGCGAGAAGATGAGTGCACGGCCAAGCGTGTGGCAAGCTTGCGCTCGTATTGGAGTCGTGTGAGTCTTATGGAAGGTGGCAATCTCAGCTTCGGGCAGCGGCAGCTACTGTGCTTGGCGCGCATGGTGCTGAGGCGAGAGGGCATTGTGGTCCCCAGGTGTTAGATAAACGAAGTGGAGAGGTTGCAGAATACTTGTTCAGTAGGGGTCCAAGATCACCGCACCCGAGCCCGTGAGCCAGACCGAAAATCTGTGGAGCACGTCCAAAGCAGGCAGCCGGCCCTGCTGCTACTGGACGAAGCGACTTCTGCGATTGATCCGGCTACGCAGGAGACCTAAGAAGCTGCCCGGTGATCCTTCCTCCTTCGTGCTCTCCTTCTTTTGGGATGTAAGGCCTTCTAGACTTTGCAAATTGCTCGCAGGAGTCGGTGCAGGATACCATCAATCATGCTTTCCCCGGCTCCACAATGCTGGCGGTGGCCCACCGCCTGGAGACCATCATGGAGTTCCGGCCTCGGCACCGGTCGCACACAAGGGTGCACTAGAGTACTACTTCGGTCAAATCCGCAGCTAAGCTGTGTGCCGAGGTTTGACCAAGTCTGGCTCTCAGACTCTGGCTGAGCCCACCCCGCCGATTGTCTTGGCTCTCCTGAGCCACAACAGTAGCATCATCAGTACATGGCGGAAGCAGATGGCAGAGAGAGAGTCCGTGAGTTGATTGGCGCAGCCAAATGGAGAAGCAAAGTGCAGTAGTGGCCGGGCATTGCCAAGCTCGGTCTGTGCCAGCAGCGCCATGACTGAGGTTGTAGTCCTCGATTCTGGAAAGGTGGCAGAGGAGGCAGACTGGGAAAGCTCGGGCTGTGAGGGTTTCGGTTAAGATCTCAAGGCCATGCGCAGCGGTAGAAGCTTGAGTGAAATGAAAACTTGGGACATCATTGCGGGTACTCGTTGCCGCCGACGGGTCAACATGATCCGGCCGTGACATGGAAAGCCCCCGACGCCTGCCAGGGTGCTGTGAAGGAGGTGGCCGCCAGGCCAAATGGAATCTTCAAACGTCACTTGGATGCATAGCAATCAGCACAATGGCTGTCGTGGGGGGCATTGTGGCATCGTGGAGTCTTTGCGGCATGGGTGGTGTGCCTTCGTTGGTTAGGTTCTGGGCCACGTGTTTTGGGAGCGCTGGAAGCTTTAGGATTTGAGGATCTTTGGGAGGTCAGTTCGATCAGAGCTACTTGCCTGCGATGCCCCCCACACTTCTCTGTGTACTGCCGTAGGGCCGTAGACAAGAGACAGGGTGAAGCTGGCTCTGCATGCAGGCATGCTGGATGCGAAAGAGCCGCTTGGCTTCTTGCAGCCTTGTTTTTTAAGGAAACTTTCTTGGCACCTTGCGCTGTACAGGGGCAGAGGGAACGAGGTTTGGGGACGTGGGACGTGAGTGTGACGACTTAGGAAATGGTGAGAATCGGTGAGAGGCGTGCCGGACCAGCTCCAATGCCCAGGAAAAGAGAAGTACCGAGTAACCATTTAGGTATGTAGCAGCGCAGCCTTTTCGGAAAGATGGAAGGTCGAGCTGTCCTGATTTTCCTCTGTGCGCTCTTCTTGCGAAGCGGCGCTGACTAGTCACAGTCTGTTCGACCCAATGAGTGTCGGAAAAGAGGTGGTATCTGCGCATGCGCGAGCTGCAAGATGTAACGTAGACTCCTCTGCCCTGCAAACAGTAGCTCAGCTCAGCATCTTCCGGGTGATGGCTCAAAGCTGAGACAACTGCAGAGACAGTTGGGTAATTAAGTCTTTTGTCATTGGGATGGCGAGCCACTCGGCAGAAAACCTTCCTCAAAGTGCAGTGGTGCCATGTTACACAGCCCAAGCTCTCTCCGACACCAAGGTGCTGCCATGGCTCCGCCCAGCACTGGCATGCCGGACGAGGACAGACGGACATCCGGCCGAAGCGGTCCGATCTGTGAGCCCGCACCCCAGACTTCAGCAGGGCAGCTTCAACTTCGTTTGGTTCCTGCATTATAGACCAAGAGGTGGTTTGATGCATGATGATGCATGCGCTATGGCAGATTGCTGCCTGCTTGCTAAGAACCGACAACAGTCGCACGTCCCATATGTCGCTTGTTACATGTCTGACAGCATGCATATTTGTTCGACCAAGTACCTCGACGGGCACGAGGCTAATCGAGACGGGCATGTTGCATCGTTGTTCGTACGGGGACTCAACTTGAACCACCTTTACATGCCTACTGATCATCCATGCTTGGGCCAGCCAAAGTGCACTTTAGTGCGCCTCTCGATATGAGGTCCGCCGTCCGTTGGACCCCCTAAACAAGAGAGCCCGTGACACCGAGACGCGCGTTCGGTCACCACTGATCACCACTGCAACCCGCGACCAGCTCAAGCAGAGCAGAGTTCAGCCAAGACCCTAAACCCTAAACGCGCTGACGAATGGCTACGGCTCAAGGACTAGCTTGGCAGGACTAGCCTTGTGTACTGTACGGCCTACCACTTTTAAACCGCGTGCAATCAGGAGTTGATCCAGCAGACCGTTTTTCAGTTCCGTGTGCTTGGAAAGACCTCAGCTGGATTGCACACGTCGTTGACCCAAAGGGCTCCCGAAGGGAACCCGGGTCAAGTCGCAAGCAGATCGGGCCAAGACCCGTGCTGCTTTGTAGGTAGGAGTTGAAACCGGCCATAGATTGGGCTCAGCTGTTCAGCCTTTCCAGAATCCCGACAAAACCAAGCGACCCAACATCATCGCTGCTGGTTCATGCTGTTGAAGGAGTGAAGACAGTTTTGTAGATCCAGGATCATTTTCTGCCATGTCCCTGGCTGCCTGCTGCACACTGACTGTCCCGTGCCCCTCCCCTGCTCCGGACGCGGATGTGGGAGCTGCTGCAGATCTGCTGGTTCGCTGCCAACGGACCAACGAGGACCTGGGCAAGCTGGTGCGAGAAGAGCACGACCTGCTCTTCAACCTCTCGCTGCAGCTGGACAGGCTCCGCGGCGCTACAAGGGAGAGTCCGCCTTCAGCAGCCCAGCAATCAGCAGAGGCCTCGAGGACCACGGAAACTTCGAGAGGCAGCCCGTCCAAGGATAGCAACATTTACCCGCGCAGTCCAGTCGATGCTGGAGGAGAGCGCAAGGCTTCTCGCGAAGTGCGCTTCGGCCGTGGAGGCTATGGGCCACCAGCCGTTGAGATCCCACGTCTCCCACCTCCTTTGATGATGCTGCCCACGAAACCGGCAGCCATCGTGGAGAACATGCGGCCTGTCCAGCCGAGCCAGGCCTCCAGCCCTCCAAAAAACCGCAAGATGTTCCGGGGAGACTTGTCCAAGGGGACTGCGGCAAGCCGGTTTACCAACGACAACGTCAGCAACGTTTACTCGATCAACGGCATCAGCAAGCAGCCCATTCAGTTCATCCGCAATTCTTTCGTGGAGTTCATCAGGTCGAACTTTTCTGCGGTGGAACGGCAAGACACACGCTGCGGCCGCATGATTGCGAGGTTCATCATGTTCTGTGTGTGGCTGACGGAGTTGAAGGAGCCGGAACGAACTGGGTGCCTGGCCAGTGTAGTGCGCAGCCCCTGCTTTTCCTTGGCCTCCACCATGGTCATCCTGGCGAACGCGGTCTTCATCCTTTACGCCACAGACTATGAGATGGAGAATCTCAGTGATCCCACAAATGCCCAGATACGGTCAGTCGATGCATGCCTCGCCGGCATTTATGTTGCAGAAGTACTGCTGAAGCTCATTGTACACAAATGGTTCTTCTTCTGGAACAGCGAGTGGAGGTGGAATCTCTTCGACTTTTTGCTCGTGGTGTTCGCAGTTGTAGAGAACATCTTGGCCAATGATTGGCTGTATCCCGCCCAGGACACGAGCGTCAACCTGATCTTTCTTAGGCTCTTCCGCCTGTGCAAGATTGTGAAGAGTTTCCGCCTCTTCCGCACCTTGAAGTTTTTCAGCGAGCTCCGGCTCATGCTGGACTGCATGATCGGTTCAGTTCTGAATGTCATCTGGTGCGTCATGGTTTTGTTCTTCGTGATGTATATCTTCGCGCTCTTTGTCCAGCAGCTGCTGGCTTCGTATCTTGTGGAGGATGGCGGACGCAAAAACCCCGAGGATGTGCAATTGATCTATGGCTACTTCGGCTCCGTGGGCCAGACCTTGATTACCCTCTTCCAAGCGAGCACGTCCGGGGTGGACTGGAGGGACCCCTACAACGTACTGGCGGTGTCTGGGCCAGTTCTGCCCGCTGCATTCCTCTTCTACGTGGCCTTCGTCTTCATCTCTGTCTGGAACATCATCACCAGCACGTTTGTGGAGAAGGCCCTCAAGCTCGGGCTGCCGGATATCGATCTGCTTGTCATGGAGCAGCAGCTCCAGGACTATGAAGACGCGCAGATGCTGGCCCAACTCTTCGGGCAGATGCTTCACACGGATGAGGACGGTCTGCAACGCGTTGGTCTGGAGGAGTTCCGGCACCTGGTTGAGAACAGCGAGTTCCTCTTGTATTTGCAGACCAGGGGGATTGACATCAAGAATGCCGAAACGTTTTTCAAGATGCTGGTGGAGCTGCATGGGGAGCCCACCATCGATGCCACCACGTTTGCAAATGCTTGTGTGCGCATGAAAGGTGCTGCAACGAGCATCGACCTCCAGACGGTCATGTACACGACGCATTTGCTGAACAAGGACCAACGACGTGCTTTCCAGTTTATGTACAGCCGCTTGAAATCGATCGAGGGCATGCTCCGTGGGACGCCTGCCGAAGATGACTGGCCTGACACGTCCCCGGTCCCGACACCGAAGAGCCACTTGAGCAGACAATGGACCCCGTCCAGTGGGCTGGGTCCTGTGACCTGAGCGCTGGACCTAGCACAAGCCGAGCGCTAAGAGGGGAAGTAGCCGATCATGCAGCCGCGCTTGAAAAATGGATGTAGTCTTTGGACAGACTGCCGACGTTAGGCCACACGTGCCTCCCCTGCGAACCATGGACCAACCTTGCCTGCATTGCCCGAATTGCGAGAGTCTAAACCCACTGACCAAGGCCGCCGCGTGAGATGGCGCGGCAGACAACACAAGAGGTTCAAGCGCCTCGGCCAAGCATCGCGTAAAAGGCCGCCGTGAAGCCAATGGAGTCCTGAGGCTTCTTGAAGAGGCACTTTGATTATTTTCCATCTACTGTAATTACTGAGTTTGCTCTGTCAGCCTGCAAGAAGGAATCGCAAATGTTCGAACCCTCGGTGTTGGCAGTTTTCGGTCAGCCTTCCAAAAACATGCAAGCTAGACTTTGATGAGGGCAACAGACGGTCGAATCGACAGCCAAGGCGCTCTTCGATGCGCAAGTGAGGCCGCTGGCAGTCTGGAGAGTTTGCACCCGAAGATCATGTAGCATGCTCGTGTACTTGTCATTGTTACAGAAGTAGTGGCCTTACACTGACACTACGATCGTGTTTCCATACTGGGCTCTTTTGAAACCTCGGAGGGGAGCTGGCCTTGGGTTTCGGAATTTCAACGCCACACACAAGGGACGCAGATGTGCCTGTGAGTTTGCGCTAGCTTCCATGCTGATGCATAACACGTCCTTTAGGAACAGGACAGAATTGAGGATAGTCCTTCTACAGAAATGGCATGTGAGCCGCGCTCTCTTTGAGTGGTTTTGAGTTGTGACACTGTTGTGTTGGGACACTGCTGTATCGTGCGAAATCAGAGGACTAGCACCAGACGGTTCTGTCATCTTGGACTAGGACTTTCGCCCAGAACAGCGCTGCTAACATCAGCGACTTCCATTTGGACACTTGTGTCCCAGCGTCTTGATATACGCTGCTGTTGGGTTTGCAGTTGTCCGACGGAATCTTGGGAATTCTCCGCTGCCGCCGTTGAGGGCAGATGGTTTGGCAGTTCCGGCATGCATGCTGAGTTTGCAGGCTTACGCCCGCAGATCTCGCAGCCATCAACGGCGAGGCCGGTGACGTCGTAGCAGATGCCACCCGGCTTCAGCACGTGGTGGCAGCGGCTCTCTCAATTGTACTGTTCGTAGAGTGTCTTCACTGCTACTACTTGTATTTCCACCACTTTTGTGACTATCGGGGAGGATGCCTGTCGTAGTCAGCAAAGACGGCTACATGATTACAATACGGCAGAACACAGCCTTATCCGTAGAAATGCTAGACTAGAGCTTCTACCTACAAGTCCTGAAAGCCATAGCCCCGAAACATGTTCAGGCTTCTGACCTTTCGAGAATGCACGATTTAGTCAAATTTAGAGTGTAAGTTTAAGGTCGGGGTTTGGACCGGTGTGGGGTTTGAGAGTTATATTGAGAGGGTCTGGACCTACAAAGTGCTTAAGAGGGTCTGCTGGCTTATCTGCGAAGCTATGGGAAGGACGTCATGCTTTAAGGACTAGTTAGGAATTCAGTCCAAGACTTTAGAATCCGGAGGACTGGAGCTGCAGGGAAATATTTGGCTCCCGCATCGCATGGAGCTTCGAGCTAAATCAACCATACAGACGCCTGCGGGCTCAGTCAGTTCTTTGGACAGTCAAACCCTGCATTACGGGCTCGTCCTTGCAAAGTAGGAGACGAAAAACCCTAAACCCTTCCCGGACACTTATCGCCATGCCTGCTCTTGCGAGTGTGTGAGTCGAAACCCGGGTCCAAGCTCTGGATTCGTATTCTCAAGCCCCGAAACCAGTCCAAAGAGGCTTAAATCGGCTCAAACCCTTAACGTTTGCGTATAGGTCCAAGCCTGAAGCTAACTTGCCCATAGTTGAAGTCCGAGGCTCATAACCACGAGCTCCTCCGGAACCCATGGCCCATAACCCTTCCCTACAAGTTCAAACGCTGTGGACCTTTAACCTAGTCACTGGCTCGGGATTGCCTTCCCTCAGGAAGCTTTTGCTGTTGGGCAAGTTCATCTCACCTTCGAGGACGTTAGCTTTTCCATCCCCCAGACGCAGAACCACTGTATATCGAATGCCACGAAATCAGTCCGGACTGGCGCAACACCGCGAAGTGGCAACAGTACAAGCAGACTCTTGGCATGATTTCAATCAGCTGCTAGCAGTTGAAGCCGTCCTCCAGGCAAGGTGAACTGCTATGGGTTATAGTTGACTCGTAAGATCAAGGAACCCTCACGGCAGTGTTCCATTTCTCGGAACCGACAGTATTCTTGAATGGCACAGGGGAGGTTGACAGCGCCAAGCCCACCATGCACTCCATGGTGTTTCCTGCCATCCGGATCGTCCACAGATCTGAAGCACTTGCCTGCCGCGCTGCTCCAAGGCGATGGGCGGAAGAAGATCCTGGATCGAATTTCAGGTCATTACGAACCTGGAGCCTTGGTTGGATCCTGGCGTTTGGGGTTTCAGGACAAATGGGTTCGATGCCGTGGCCTGTACCTTCGGCCTTCTGGCGCTTTGTCAACGCAAACTCGATTCAGTCCTCTTCGTGGCCCCATGCTCCCTTCATGAGGTCAGCTTGTAGCGCTGATGGGGCCGTCAGGCCCATGTCACAGCTTCCTGGGGCTGGAGATTTGATTTCAGGCTAGCGGAGAGCATTACTTGATGAAGCTTGTTCCGACTTGAGACTTTGCAAGATGTGCCCTCAGGTGGATGCATAGGCCATCATAGGCCTAAGAGTGATCGGTAAGCGGGGGGAACCCTGGGAAGCCACGGAGGCATGGCTGTTTAGCATGCAGGCATGCAGCCTCGGCCTGAACAAAAGAGACAACAGCTTTGCATCTGACGCGCCCCTTGCAGAACGGGGTTCGTGGGATGTCTGGGTTGATGGTTGAACGCTTTGCGGGCATTGCTGCACTTTGGGGTAACTCCTGCAGAGCTTGCTCTCAGAAGGAGCTCTTGAATTCGTGTTGAGTGGATGTGCATTGGCCATCCCAGACGAACCAGGCGGTGATAGGCTTGTTGTTCTGCTCTTTCGGAAGACTTTCGACAAGCCGAATACAGTCGTACAATTTCCTGCCAAACCATCTCTTTCCCCAGGCGGTGCTGCTTGATTTGCGGCGTCAGGCCACATCAATAAGACTTCGGTTCTTGAGTCGATGCAGGCTCGGGGAAGACAACCTTACTCGACATCCTGGCCTGGTGCTCAATGCCCTGCGGAGTAAACGGGAGAAGTGGCTGAGTAGCTCATGTGCTCCAGGCCGGAAAGAAGTCCGCTCCGCACGAGGCAGGTTGCATGCCGAGCAGGTCTGATCTCTGCTTCCGACATGAGCTCCGTGGCACCTGCATCCATGTGCTTGCTTCGCGCAACCTGACAGCCTTCGCAGGGCACCATCCATGTCAACGGTCGGCCGCGGGATATGCTCTGGAATCGGATATCAGCCTACGTACCTCAGGACCTCCGAAATTTGCCCATTTGGATGAAGATCTTTTCTCAGATCGCAGAGATTCGCGTTGTATCTGCCAGCAGGACGATCTCATGTTCGCACACCTGACAGTTGAGGAAGTGCTCAGGCGCGTGGTGCTCTAATGATCCTGATGGAAGTAACATCCACTTTCCCACCACGGTACTCCTATGCGCATGATAAGTGCTTGTCACCCGAAGTGGCATTGTAGGTCGGAGTGCGCAGAGTGCCTTGTTTTTGGGTTCTCAGATGTTCGTAGCTTGCTGACGCTCAGAGCCCACCGTTGACGGGCACCTGTCGGGCACGCACCACGCAGTAAAGAAGAACCGCGGTGCAGATGCCTCCAAGTGTGCAGGCAGTGTTGAAGTGTGAGCTACCGTAGAAACGCGGCAGACCGTTTTTCCAGGTTCCATGCGAACCTGAAAACGCAGCGCCCAGCCAGGCAGTGAAAGGGGGACCATCCTTCTTGTCTGTTGTTGAGAGCACAGTTCAGATGTCAGGCTGAGAGGGTTGAGCCGTCATAGTACCTGTGTGGGTGCCACATGTGTTCATGTGCTCCATCAACTAGACACAAACCCCACCCGGAGGAATGGCTCCTGCAAGTTGCCCTCACATGTTGGCAGCGCGAGCGTACTTTTGACCGTCTGGCAGAACATCCCTCGGCCACAACCTGCCAACCTGGAGCAAAGCATCCCACGACAGCAGCGTAGAGAGGGTTCTGCCGGGGTCGAAGTGCTTGCTTGAGGCCACTTTCAAGGATGCAGAGCTGCTTGTGTCGCTGCAACAATGCCCTGGACAGGATCACCCGACAGATGGATCAGCTCCGGATCGAGGCGTTTCTGCAGGCTTTCGGGCTCCACGACATCAGGACAGGTCGTCGCTGCCGGCGCACCTCATGACCTATGATAGTCAGATATAACCAGACGACAGAACACTCGGTTCGACTTGCTCTACCCGAACCAATCTGGCCTTTGCCCCACGACACTTCACAAGAAATCAGGCTGCTCCCTCTCAGCTAGCGGGGGTACCGTATTTTTTTTGTCTA